GCACAAGGCAGGGAACAACCCAGGATGGGGCACCAACCCATCACAGGGCACACTAATCTACAGGGATTGGGTAACTCCAGTTCACCTCAGCATGCTTTTGGACTGGGGGGGGGGACCCCGAGGAAACCCCATTATAACATGAGGAGAACACGACACACATGGAGCCGAGGCACAGACTGGAACACTGGTCCTAAAGATATAAGCCACCATACCACACTCAGCACATTGATATGACGCTTTTAATCAAAGCACCCAGCAATATACAATGCTCTATTTGTAAAGCTATAGCAGATACCATATAGCGCCTCACACTGGGCAACACCTTACCTAAGCTCCATCTCTTTTATTGCGTGTGATCTGAGAAAATCCATTGTGAAGGGACAGACCCCCATGTTGCATGTCTGTAGGTTCTGTTTGATTGATGTATTTGTACATTGTATACAGTATGTGGTTGGTGTTTATGACTATTGTGAATAAATATTTGTATTAATGACAATTATGTGTATTGGAAGACAATGTTAATGGTATCCATATGTCTTGTTTCATGTGTTAATTCATTATTGCATTATAACAACTATGGTACATGCTATATAAAGCCTCTACAGTAACCACAAAAACACACAGACAGACACACACTCACATGGGTTTTCACAGTATACATAGAGTCAATGAAATGCAAATACAGAAGCTGTTTGAATATCGTCCTGAGTATAACCAGTCACAGAACGCTGTTTTTCAAGGCAGTTGATTGCACACTGTTGCATGACAGTAAGAAAATAATGTCCCTGTCTGCAAGCTAAGAAATTATCAAAGGACTCCCACCGCTCATTATGGTGTCGTGTTTAGGCATGTGAAATATTTTGTTAATAAAACATGAGACTTATAACACAGGAATTTCATAACCTCTGAATTGTCATCAATTATATTCTATCAACGTCCTCACTCTGATATTAACGTTTATGATTAAAATACTAGATATTGAAACGGTTTTCTCATTAGTGTTGCCTAGAACAGCTGTTGGATTGTTAAAATTCAATAATCATACAAAACATAACACAACATTGCTGAATGAGTTGAAAGCCTAATTGAATCTAAAGCTTAAATAATGAGGGTCAAAGGAACAAACATTTCTATACCTTGCTACCAATTGTGACATGTAACACAGTATGCGTACTGGTAAGAGCTCAAAGTAGTTCAGATTAAGAGGAGTCAATTGGGCTTCCGTGTTGTAATATTATTCAGGAGTTGAACTTATGCACAATGCACAGTCTGTTTAGCTACACACTGACAGCAGAATAACCGGCTCCAGGTGGGGCTTGAACTCACAACCTAAGCACTGCTATATAAGCACTGCACACTAACCAATTACGCCACTGGAGCTCATTTGGGAGTGACTGTTAAATCCCTTATCCTTTCCCTAACCAGACTCGATATAGTTGCGGTGGTGGTGGTTACATGATTGCTGCTTAGCTTAGTGTCTTCTAAGCATCTTCCTGTAATGTCCAGATACATTTCGTTACCCGGCAGGGGACATTTCACGATCTAGAAGATTGTCTACCCAGGGTCGGGGTCAGCCATTGCACCGAGGTTGTGCTGACTCCTGTGAATTCCCAAATGGGGGAACCTCGACTCCATGATTTCTAGTAGCGGGGGGGACTGCATTTCCGCTCTTTACCTGATAGGTAAGACTGCCTATTACAGGATGACCACCTTTTCAAATGCTGTGATTTCCTGAATATTCATATCGCTTTAGGTCCTTAATTCCAGAGACTGTTCCAGGGGTGCAGGATATTTATCTAACACTTCACATGATTTACTTATGCAAGTATAGAAAAACACCAGACAGTCTCTTATGATTATGCTGTAATAGCGTGCAGTATTAAGGCAAAAGGGTTATTCAGTTTGAAAATTCTGTATTATAGGTAGCATAGACTGTACTGTTCTTTGCTTATCTCTCCTAGTAATTTTGTTTAGCTTTGCTCACTACATTAAGCTTCTAGAGATGATATATCCAATGTTTGCATATCCAGAAAGCAGTGCTCTGTTGTAGTCTGGCAGACAAATCCCTCATGTAAATAAAACGGTCTCACCTCTAGACAGGAAACAGGCCATTCCGGAATTAGTAGCTCGGAAGACAAAACACACCCCTTTATCTGCACTTCAGCCCGTAAATAATGTTTTCAGCTTATACCCTTAAATGTGGACACTTTGTTTATGGTTTGTATATGTATTCAGTAGCCCTATATAGAAGCTGCTATTTTGCTACTGTCTTTGCTTGAGGTAAATGAGCTTCATGTTTTATGATAAACTCTTGGTACTTGCCTGCACTTACATGTACGGTGAGCAAGTGTAAGTATGTAATAAACAAATTCTGTGAGGAATCGAAGTAAGATTCCCACTAAAACAGGACGTAGTTTTTCATGCCGCAGTGGGAGTTTCTGTGGAGTAAAGGCTTACTCCCTCAGTGGCTAAGGGTGGGTTAAAGTTCACAGCCGCACACCCATTAATTGAGAAATGAGTGACACAAAAACTGTTGTTGTGGTCTCTCAATTTTTTCCTGAGCCGTATATTTATTTCAATACTGTGTAAAAGAAGCACCGGCTACCACAGCTGGTTAAAAATGACATAGATCACATGCTTGCTGTTCCTCAGCTTAGCGGCACAGTAACTGAACCTCTGCACCCTGTCGGTATGGTGTGTGTCTCCAGCCCCATTTTATTGTTCTCCATTCGAGAACGATAAAAGGAGGCGAGAGTGAGGCGGCCATGCTAATCATGGCACCAGCATGACACCCGCACTGTAAAAGTCGATACCATAAAATGAACCGTAACAGCAGATTCATGAAGCATTGTAAATGAGTCTTCTAAACCTTTGGAAACTGGTGAGGACTTAAGTCGTTTAGTCAGGTAATTAAGAAATCCATCCATCCATCCATCAACCACTTATCCTAGTTAGAACTGCAGTGAATAAAAGAAGTCATAATTTTACTTAGCTACATTCTCCACCATCACCTGAAGACGCGTCTTCTGTGCGATAAGAGAAGCTTAATCCTTTCAGGTGACATCAGATCTCAGAGAATGGATTCTAAAGGAGGCGCAAATCTGAGGACAGGAAGGTGAAAGGCAAAGACTGGAGAACCGACGAGCGGATTAGCATTAGTCTGCGGAATAGAATTATATGCATGCCCCATTACATTTGCAATTTAATCTTCATGAAGAATTATTCCATAAAACCTAAAACAGCTACTACAGCTGCCGCCTCATCTCTACAGCCTTCCTGGCAGGGTCTCCTTTTGTTTGCAGAACCGCGTCAAGGATGGTCGAGTGCCATTTCCACAGAAGCCTTTCCGCACACCACTGTTGCACTGAGCTGTTATTTTTGCACCTGCAGCCTTTCTGGTAGCTCTAACGAGTCTGTCCGTTCTCCTCTGACCTCCCTCATTAACAAGCTGGTCTCAGCAACAGAACCACCACTACTGGGTGTTTCTTTCATTATTGCACCATTTTCTACACAGCGTCTTACGTGAAAATCCCAGGGGGGTGTCTGTTCCTGAGATCCTGGGACCACTACCTTGGGCACCTGTGTATCTTCAGTCCAATTGTATTATTCTACATATTACTCTACATTTTTTAATCATAATTGTAACAATTAAAAAAAGCCAATGACTGAAACTGCCCATTTTTGGGACTGTAAAATAAAACAAATTAAATTATTACGTATCAGTCTTTAATTTTGACCATTCGTTTCATTATAGTTATTGAGTATATTTCAATCACAGCTTTAAAGAAAATCCAACAACAGCTCAAAACGCACTTTACTGAGCTTTGGTTTTGCACCTTAGAGACTGGTTTTGGGGTACAAAACTTTAATTAATGAAAAGTTCAGAGGGACAATGTGTGACTCAGTAGGCTATGCATCTGTGCCCGGGATCAGAAGGTTATCAGTTCAAGCCCAACCCTGGCACCTTTCTGGGCCCTTGATCAAGGCCGTTCACCCCCAGCTCCCTGGGTGCTATTATGGGATGCAGCCCTGCCCGATCAAGCTTGATGTCTTGGAGAGCAAGACGGGGGAAGTGAAGAGGGGCTTTGCCCCATGGGGGTCAACAATCAGTATCAATTATTAGATACACACAACATATCCCACAGCTACATTTGTTGCATTCAGAGTTTCATGCTAAATGATCAAAACAGGGTGAAAACAATGGTAATAATCAGGAGAATAAAGGTAATGTTAAAAATAATAAGGCAGAAAGGTGTAGATTCTGGGCAACTGACTCCACCATCATTGCTGCCTTTGAATACAGAGTAAGGACACTGAGTATCTGTATTTAGTTGACACTGTTGTCCAGAGTAATGTACAAGTGCGGCAAATAGTACGTTACAAACAACTGTGGAGGAGACAACTGGGTGTGAAATGCAGCTGACCTGAGGTACAAGTGCCAGCAGTATCAGAGCAAGAGGTACCTTTCAAATATAGCAAAAACCAAAAAGAGAAATATTCATTCAAATCAAAGGACAGAGTGCCATACTAAGGGCATTCAGTGAGCATGAGGAACCAGATATAGGGTATGAGTCGCATCCAAATGCAAAAAATATTTTAAAAGCACATGGCATTATGGGAATAGCATAGGCAACACCGTCCATCCACCATAGGTAGAACAGTACTTAACATTCACACAGCACATTCTGGAGGAATGGTTTCTGTATGGCTGCTGCGATTGACATTGGCTTGGTCACACCTAATAATAATAACTTAACACTTAACTCAAAGAGAATCAAATGAACGTCTATTCCGGGCAAATTATCGCGGAGTAACAAGGTGAAGTGTTCCCCGGGTGAGTCCGGGAAGAACTGACGTCAGGACAGCTACCTGTTAATATCTTAACAAGCTTTGATTTACTCATTTTGCATAAATGGAAATTAATAACCCAGGACTGGCTTTAGGCTGCATCTGCAAAAGGAGGCATTTTTAGGAGGAGTACCGTTAAACAGTGAGTCAGAACATAAATCCCAGCTCTGCAATTAGTCAACTCTGTATGTATTTCGGTGCAGATGGTGGTGATGTAGCATCTCCAGAGGTCCTTATTAAAGAAGGAACTCCTTTTGGCTGTATTAGTCTTTCATGCCTGCATTCTCTAATTTGACACGTTATCACTCTAGTAACCTACTTCGCGTAAAAGCCTTAGACCATTAAATCGTTATTAAGGACTCCTGTGCACTGACTGTACATATTTTCTTTGTTTTATATAAGGAAGAGGATGGCTATAAATGAACTGTGTTCTTTTTAGTATTATTTCTGTACAGGTTTTTAATTAATGCGAATGAAAAAGGATCATACTTGCGTCACAAGAATAAAGCAAATTACCACTAAACTTGGACGTTTTTTTTTTTTCTTTAAATATGGACACTGAGGTTGCTGCATTTATATAAATATCTTTTTTAGTGTCTAAGTGGGCATCATGATGACGTCACACCGGTAGGGTTGTGAGTTTTATAGTTGGCTGTGTGTGAGTTTGCAGGTTCTCCTTGTGTTTTTCAAGGGGTTTCTGTCGGGACCCTAGACTCCCCCTGTGTTAAAAAGCAGGCAGTTAGGATACTTTGCGTTTGCGAGTTGCCTGTGGTGTATGGCCCACCCTTTCAGCTCCCCGTGACACGGTCTGGGTCCACTGTCACATTGTACATCATAAACAGAATATGGACGGATAATTCTGCTGCAGTAATGTAATCTACAATAAACCAGCTACATCATCCAGAAAATCGGGATTAACAAACAATTTCTTTGTATATACTAGTATTCATACTCTTAGACATCATAACATATGAGTGCATCAGTTTAACTCATTAATATTATTCATTAGAGGATGTGTGCCTTTTAATCTTATAGCACAACAAAACTGCTACGAGTCTCCTCGCTGAATCCCGTGCAGCACTGTGATGGGCTTGGCGGTCACAGCCGAGAGACTGTCTGGAAGAAGTTGGGACTGTGTGCCAGAAGAAGGGCTCTCACTCCCAAAAAGAATGAACACCATCTTGGATTGAATAAAATATGCTGCAGCGTGAAATAGGGTTTGTTTATATCCTTCCCCAACCCTTCAAAGGTACCGAAGAAGAGAACAGCAGGAGCACCTCTCTGCTCTCTCTGCCACGTCGTACGTCAGCCACTGAAGAGCCACATAAGGAGACCACTCTGTTCCCTTTTTAGAGTTTTAAACTGTCATAATCATTTTCAGCAGAACCACCATGGTTTAAGAACAGTTCAATCTCTCCAGATGTTTTAGCTCTATCTATCTATCTATCTATCTATCTATCTATCTATCTATCTATCTATCTATCTATCTATCTATCTATCTATCTATCTATCTATCTATCTTATTGGTCATTTCTTTATAAAATATCATCCATCATTCTACCCAACCATCATTCTCTCCAATCATTCATCTTGTAATTGCTTATCATGGTTTGGATGGGGGGGTGGGGGGGGGGGGTTCTTGTTAATTTAGGAAGCTGAGAGCACAAAGCTGGGGTACTGTACACACTGGGCAGGATGGGTTTGTACCTGTAACGCTGTTTATTCTAATATATTCGGAGGGACTTATTTCCCCCAACGAAATAACATGTGAATTATATTAACAGCCGTTCCTGTTTATCTGTGTGCCTGACTGGCGTTGCCAAAA